CTGGAGGCTGCTTCTCTGCTCACTGGATAGGAAGCAATGTACAACTAAAGATGCATGGTCTTGTCTGTTTGGTGTAAGAAGGGTGGCCTGCAGCATCACCTGAGACATTTGGCTACAAAATATGTTGTCTCCAGAAGCTCTTATTTTATGCATAAATCGCAGCAGAGGAAGGGTCTGAATTGTGGAGGCAGAAGTCACGCAAGCTCCCTCATGTAACTGGAATTTTAGCCAGATGCATTCAGATGTTCCCCTGACCACTGATTCCTCACTGGTTCCTGCTGAGCTTGCTGTGATTATTTCCTGGTCTGCACCATTTTTAAGCAGCGTTTATCAGGTATTTTGAGTCACAAATCAGACTGAGGAGTGTTTTGGGAAGATGAGATCAATCGTGGCTTTACTCAGTGACAGGCTGGTCACCTGTGCCATCAGCTCCTGTTCATCCAGAGCTCATGCAGAGAGAGGGCTCAGAACCACCCCTGATAATTGCCAACCTGACCGATCAGTTTTAAGAGGCAGCATTTTCACAAGTTTGAATAACCTTATATTATGGATGAGTGGGATGAGTGGGATGCTATGTCAGCAGGTTGGTTCGATTTGATCAGGCCTTGCTTGCTCATGACAGCCCTTCCTTGGAGGAGTGCCATTAAGGCAGGACATGCCCTCAGGAGTCACAAATCACAGGAGATGTCTTTGTGACTAACCAGCCCACTGTCATGCAAAACCAGATTACTAGGAGTGAATTTTCAGTGGACAGCAACTCTTAGACTAGTAATTAGGGCAAAAGCCTATTGTTGAGCTCTTCTCACAGGCTAGCATTTATCCTAGAACAACGGGACCTGCCCAGCACTGCATGTGAGACAGTCTTCTGAAGTAAAGGCTTTATTCCAAATAAAACATTTGCCCCACATCGTTTATCAGATCTGGCTTTGGTAGAAAACTCATCAACAGGCTCTTCTTATGAGGCTAATATCTAAGCTTTGCTAATATCTAAGCTTTGTTGTGTTTGGGTGTATATATTTAAAGCTGCTCTTGTTAATGCACCAAGTATGTGTAAGCAATTAACAGGAGATTGTGTTTGAATACAGCTTTCAAAAAAGTCTCCAGAGAAGTTAGTTCTCGTTACTCAATGAGCAGCCCTTTCAGCCGTGAATAGTGACCTTGGCAGAAGGTCCTGGAGACCATGGAACTAATTGAAAAAGTTTTAATAAAGGCTAGTGCATGGAAAAAAAAAATCTATATGACTAGTGCATTGTTCAGTGGTGACGGTATGTTTGGCAGATACCTATCCCATTACAAATTCAGATATTGAATTCATTGCAGAGCTGTGATTTTAGGGTAGATTTGATGACACACTAGAGAGTGGCAGCTTTAAAAAAAATTCTTTTGATATATTCTGAAAGATGTTTTGCTGTTTGACAGAAGTGTAGGATCGCTTAATGGAACTGTGCTGTGCTTCGCCAGATGCTTTCTTGGAATAACATTTTTCCATGGCATCATAGTTACAGAAGTGCTTGTGAGCACATTCACAATCTCATGTGACCTGAATTAGTTTTCTTAATGAAGAAAATAGTCTTGAGCGTTGATTCAGTTTGCTGTTGTTCCTTTGGTCATATTTTGCTGTTTATGAATATGCTGAAAGATGCTCCCCATCCAGAAAATATTTGGAAACTGGCCAGGAAGGGACATACCCCTTGTGCTTCTTCACAGTGCTTTACTCACTGGGGATACGTTTATTCGCTTCTCCTCAGTAAGTGTCAGTTAGTCATCCAGGAAGCAGAACTGTGAACCTTAGTGTGAAACCAAAAAACAGATCCTCGGATGACTGTTGCCCAGTGAATATAATCCAAATCCCAACATATCTGCAACTAATAAGACTGTTAGGGTAACACTTCAGTTATTTGAGTTCCAGCAATTAGCTTACGCTGATGCTGAGGTGTAATCTGCTCTAGGCAGATGCATGTTTGAGTCATTTAAGTGTACTTTTTGGAGTAACACTTCTTGCCATTCTCTCCTGATGTTGACGCTATTGGTTTCCTGCCATTCTCTCTAAAGAGCAAAAGGATTGCACAAAGATGAGGGAGGTTTCAGCTTGGACCCCACTTCCACATGCTAACTTCTGCCTCTTTGAGCTTCAGTGGAGCTGGGCAACCCATCTTCCCACATCTTCGATTTCATTGTATCCGAAAAATGGTGCTGTGGAGAAGTGTTACAGTGATAGCAACTTGCTGTGCAGGCATGGCTAAGAGTCAGTAAGTTCTTTGAGCTCCTTGGATAACATTATGGCAGTCCAAAGGGCTAGCATACAGAAATATAGCATGCAGGATGGCTTTCTGTCATGCGATCACATCTTATACCAGCAGGTAACAGAACTGTAGAATCATAGAATGGTTTGGATTGAAAGGCACCTTAAATATAATTCTACCCCTCATGCCATAGACAGGGACACCTTCCACTAGACCAGATTGCTCAAAGCCCCATCCAGCTGGGTTTAAACACCTCCAGGGATGGGGCATCCACAGTTTCTCTGGGCAACCTAGTCCAGTGCCTCACCACCCTCTGATTGAAGAATTTCTTCCATATATCTTCCTGGAACCTTTTCTTCTCCAGGCTGAACAACCCCAACTCCCTCAGCCTGTGTTCACAGGCTGCTCCAGCTCTCTGATCATCTTTTCGATAAATGATGTGTGTTATCAGGTACTAATTTGCTCAAAATGAACAGCATACTTGCTGATAATAAAGATTTAAAAGAGTAGCTGCCTCCATGCCCTAACTTCTCTTTCTCTGAGAGTATAATGAAGAGACCATAGTATCACCTACCCTTGTAAGGCAGTGATTAAGCAGTTACTAACATCTATTCAGAAATCCTGGTCTACATAATTATAAATCTGTGTCTTGTTTGGACCACGATCCATAGGAACTTTGAGCAACTGTATGTGCCTTGAGGTTTCAAACAAAGCTTATCGAAGTCTTTAGGGTTCTTTGTACTGATTTGGATGGGTTTTAGATCGAGTTCTTTTTATGCAGCAAGTTTAGGTGTTTAGGTAAATAGGCATGAGTAGAAAGGTATTTTAAAAGCTCATTTTGTCATCAACAGAAAAAACACTCTGCAGATGTTCAAAACGCACAATTCAACAACTCAAATGGTTTCTTTTTTTTTTTTCTGTTTGAAAAGAGGAAAACACTTTTCAAAAAAAAAAAAAAAAAGAAGAAAAAAAAAGAAGCTTTGTGGGTTCTATCAACCTCAAGCAAAGTTTTCCTCACTTTCCCATCTATCCTCTGACTGAAAACTGCTTTTTTTTTTTTTTTTTTTTTTTTTCTTAAGCCTTTTACAGCAAAATGATGTGTACAGTTATCACAGTGCAGGAAGATTTACTCCTAAGAGTATAAAAGCCTGAAAACATGGGTTAGACTGGAAGCCAGTACATAGCCAGCCAGGAACCAGCCTTCTCCTACAGTGTGCTTTCAAAGCCATTCTCTGTTTCTGTTTTTATGCTCATTTATTTTAATGTTTTCTTCAAACAACACCTATGGGCAAAAGAGGATCTGAGATATCCTGTCCGAACACCTGTGACGTTTGGGTCTGGCAGAAAATCACAGTGCTGGTGTTGGCTCTTTGTGTAATGGATGAGATCATGATCAGATTGGAGCTGCTTTCAGGGCTCTGGATCTGAGCCTGGAACTGAACTTTACCTTTTAAGAAAGCCCAGCTCTCCCCTGCCTTCCCACCCAGCACCAGGCAGTGGAAGGAACGAGGCAATGGGGACAAAACAGCACACTGCACAATGAAGAGTGTTAATATGAGTAATTATTGCAGTATGTCAGTGCACTATTTTAAGATTGCTCACTGCATGCCAAAGAGTGCTCTGGGCAGGGTTTTCATTACAAAATCCTGCCAAAGCACTTCCTGAGGGGATCGTGATAAATATAGATAGCAGAGAGCCAGTCTGAATCCATTGCAGTGAATAGCAGCAGCACACATGCCTTAGGGTCCACAAGGCTCATAAACCAGAAGACATTGGAGTTGGCCAAGGCCCCGGAATACCTCCGAATAATTTGGCTGACTCTAGTCAGGGATTTTCAGGTAGCTTTTTGGTATGGTGTAGAAGACACGCTGGAGAGTCAACTCCCAGTTATCCCTACCAGAGCTGCATGGGTCACTTTTATTTCTGGCCCATAATTAATTGTGAAGGATCCCTGTGAAATATTTAAGGCCAGCTTCTTTTCTCTTTTGTTACATGGCTTCATTTTTGACCATCTGTATAACATTGCCCTTTGCATTGTGTCATTGCAGAAAAATAAAGGACAAAAGAAAATTATCCAGCTTTTTTTAAACTCTCTCTTTATAGCTGAATGATTCCCAGTTGCACATGTACATGAAAAACACTGCCACTCATTTTGCAAGCAGCTTTATTTTCTCCTCTCAGGCAGCAGGGCTGCTAGAAGTGCCTAAGCCAGCTGTTGTATTTGCAGCGTTGTTTAGGGTTTGAACTGCTCATCTCCCAAGGCTCCTATTCTGGTAGTGCAAAGAAATGACTGTGTTGAAGTATGTGCATGTGGGGGTCTGGGCAAGGCCCCCTCTCCCAGACGAGTCAGCCTGGTGGCCCCAACGCTGCTGCAGTGGAGACCCCAGTGAGCTAGTGACCCTAAGCGTGCAGCAAGGGCTGCGATGGCTTTGGCCTCTCTGAGAACACCACCAGCACTTTTGAAGTAAAAAGTCACATCTGATGGGATGGCTATGTGTTTCATAAAGGCTGTTTCACTGCCAGCCCTGCTGGGCAACAGCTGCAGCAGCTGGGAGGTTTTCATGTCCAAGAGACCATGCACTGATGCCAGGAGGGAGCAGAGACGCAATGGACTGTGCTTCTCCTCCCTGAAAACCTGGGGTCCCTCCTTCAGGCTGTCTCTGGGGGCTAGGTTAACTCATTTCTCTGTGTTGTTGTCAGCTGTGGGCAATTGCCAGAGTGTGAAATAGGTGCCCTCTGTGCTCACTCAGGTTTCTGCCCCACCTTAGTACTAGCAAACCCTCTGCTGAACCCTCTCCTGCTCAAGGCCTGGTGACCAAAGCTGTTTTGGGCCTGGAACTGCTGCCCTGGCATACTGTGAGTTTCTGTGGGTATGTCCTAGTAGAACAGAGGGTGTACAGCACAGGGAGGCTGGATAAGGTGTGTTGTAACGCCATGCTAGCCAGCTCAGTGTACCCCAGCACAGTAGGAGTCTGTCTTCAGGAGGTCTTAAGCAATTCTGAAGTTGAATTCTGAATGTTGATTTACTTTGAAATTTTTTCATCTTTGTCAGACACTCTTATGGAAGAGCGGCCTTGAGTCTTCTCCCTAACCTGTCACTTCGTCATGGGATGAAGTGACTTCATCCCCTCTCCCAGCAGGCACCAAGGAATTTGCCTGGCATATGCAGTTAGGAGCAGCAGGGAAAGCTGATGAAGAGGACCCATTCCTACCGCAAGCCAGAAGCCCTGTCCTTCCAGGGACCCCTTTCTCTAATATTCCCTTGTTATATTTTCCCTTACACTGTCATTACCCATGATGTCCTGGCTTCCAAAGTCATCTGAGAGAGTTCTAGGGCAGGCCTTGTGGGCTCTTTTCTGCCATCTACCTTCCTCTGATCTCTCGTACTAGCTTCGTGCTGTGTTTCATCACCTCCACACTGTGCAGGTCTCTCCCTGGGGCATAGGAGGGTAGTGGAAACGTGGTGGCAAGTTAAAGCTTCCCACAGCTTCCAATAAATGTAGAGTGCACTTTGTGTGTTTTTCCAGGTAATACCTGTGTGTTTTGCAAATAATACTGCCGTGAGGGGTCTAAATGTTTGAGGAGAAGTAACATCAGCTCAGTGGAAGGGATGATGGTGAATCAGCAGGAAATGTTCTTTGGTGTGGATATCTAATAGACCCCATGACTCTGTGGGAGGAAAGACACAGACTTTGTGATCTTTTTTCAGTTTTGTTGTTGTTGGTTTGTTCTTGTTTTTAAGGGGTAAGACTGTTCTAAATTCAGAAACTTCAGTACTAGGTAAAGGGTGTGGGCGTGTGTGTAGATACTGAACTACTGATTCTTATTATTTATTTTATTATTCATGACAAGAAACCTGGATGAAAGTCAAAGCCCATTCTCTTAGGTCCTGTGCAACCTGTAGGAAAGAGGCTTGTCTTAAACAAACAAACAGAAACCAACACAGCTCTGCCTTGTTAAGCCAGGAGAGATGCTAATTTGCTCATAAGCCTGTTAAAGGGAAATTGCAGACAAGGTATTTTAGTATTAAGCCTGAGCAAAAATGCAGGAAAGGGTGTTCCAGTAGGTGATGATGCTTCTTTGCAGCACCTGCATTGATTTGGCTGTAAAGTATAATAAGCAAATTTGCAGCAGGGAAAATGACTACTCCAGAAGTTTTGTTCTCTGCAGAGAATTCTCCGCACCTGTCAGGAGAGCTGGATCACTTGACTGCTGCCTAACCTATTTAATCATCTGTTTTTGTGAGTGCTGAGAGCTGGAAAACAGGAATAACAACATGTTTAGAGGCCTGATCCTTTCTCATGACCCACAAGGACTTTCCACCACTCATTCCAAAATGAGAGTTGCAGGTAGCGGAAGTGGAAAAAGTTATGAGGAAAGACAGCTGTGGAGGTTTGGTTTGGACATGTAACCTGAGCTAAAAACAATAATTATTTCCACTTTCCACCCTCATTGTCCCAGACAGCAAACTGAACTCTGGCTACGTGTAAAGACATGCTTTTGACATACTTCTCTGCAAAGTATGTAAGACAACATACATGTAAAGCGAAGATTTGGGGTTTCTTCTTTTTTTCACCCTCTCTCCTCTTCTTTTAACTCCCTTCTAATCTCCAGTATGTGCCCTGAATTCTCTGCACCATGCCGCAAAGGAGCTAGCACAGATTCCCTCCAGGCTGAGCAATTCCTATCCAGCTGAACACATGTTTGACAAGATCCCACAGCAGTTATTTAAGCAAAATGTCTGGTGAATCTGTCAGTGTGGGAGTTAGTGCAGACAAATCTGAACGTAGTCTGAGAGATCAGGGTCCATTTGCCCAGTCATTGTGACCTCTGGGCACTGACACTGGACCAGTTGCAATCTCATCTCTCTCCATTATGCTGACACAAAGCCAAGCACTGCATGAGAGCATCCCCAAAGTCGTGTAGCTCATGCTGCTGAGGAGAGCTAGTGCGAAACCCCATGCATGTCCGGTTTAATCAAGACCATTCTCATTTGAGAGTGTTGGCAACCAAGAGCCAGACTGAGTTCCCAGGAAAATCATGCCAGTTACTTATTGTGGGTCCCTGGCCAAGACGCGTAACTTCTCAGTGCTTTAGTTTCCCCATCTGTAAAACTTGGGTAAAAATCCTGTGATGGTGCCTGACAGAAAGGTATACAAGTCCATTTCAACCCTGCTGCCCCAACAAGACAGAAAACAAACAAAAAAACATATACAACAACAACAAAACAGTTCAGTAACCTACATGTATAGTGCATTTCAAGTGTTGGTCAGTATTTGTAAACCTAAAATAACATTAAACACCATGTACCTGCTATGCAGTTTTACCTCTATTTTTTTTTTTTTCTCATTTACTACTCTAGAATATTTTCCTTCCTTTTTCTTTTCTCCTTTTCTCCCTTTTTGGCTAGTATTCATAGATAAGATGTAGGAAGGGCAGAGCAGCAGAGCATGTGAATAATTTTAGTTCTTCATGCCCTGAGGTGGTCCATGTGAAGTCCACATATAAGCACTGGTTCCCTAAACCCTGGAGAAATTTAGAGTCTAGTCTGCTGCTTAACTCTTAGGACTCCGGAATCACCTAAATAGGAGGCTGATAGAGGAATTACTTCTCTAAGAAAAATCCCCTCTGCAGTCAACTTTCAGACCAGGGTCTGTGGTGGCTAACTTTTATCCCTTTCATATCTCACTTCATAAAATCAGTGTCAAAAGTCAGACTGATGACCAAACCCAAGATGCACCTACAGCTCCTGTCCTGTCCTGAAGGCTTCACTTCTTTTGATCTCTGGGACAACAGGCTGGCTATTGTCCATGTGCTGCATTTTTCCCTCTAGCAACAAAAGATGGTGAGTGCTTTCTCAAGCACAGCAGTGGTAAAGGTCAAAGTCAAAGCAGATCTGGCTTTGCCTGAAGTGAAAGCAGGGGTAAGGGGTTGGGTTCCTCACTGGGACATGAGGGAATGGCTGCACAGAATAGCTTTACATCCTGGATGTCTTTGGCAGTCCAAACAGCACAATTGTTCGGCTCTGTGGGTATCACTGCTACATGGGAACTCCAAAGGCCGCCCTTGTAGGCAGACGGACATCTTCCCAGTCATTAGGTAACTAATACTGCTTAGCACCCTTTTGAGACTGGGATAAGGATGCAACCACAAACACATATAATCTCAGGTACACAACCACACAAAATTTGACAAAGGAGAGATTCTGTTAGAAAATCATTCAATGGTCTCAACCTGCAAGCCTGAAGCTAAGTGCTTACCCCTGTATGTAAGGAGTCTGTAGTCAACCAGCAGCCTGTTTGAGAAGCCCCGAGTATCCATTATTTTTGCTGTCTTCTCTAAGAGCTAAAGGTCCATAAAATTAATCTAAAAAGCAAGGACTAAGGGAACCATGTTTGTTTGCTTGTGTGTTTTCCCCTGCCATTATCTATCATGACTGTCTGTAGAGCACTGCCCTTTTGTTACTGGACATGATGTAGCTGGTTCATGATGTGATAGTTTTGAGACAGAAGGGCTCCTTGCCTCATGCCAGGGAGAAGGTCCTAGGGCCATTTTCTCCTAAGACCTTATGGAAAAAAAAGAACTCTGTGCCACCTTATCCAGAAATAGAGGTTTTGGCTTTGAGCTATGAGATGATGATATATCCCCTGCTATGGAAAGTGCACGTTCAGTGACTAGTGTGCAGGGCTGCTGCACACCCTGCTCATCCTATAGGCAACTGCACAAGTGTTGTGACTGGGGTTTGTACACGTGGAGAGAGGACAAGGCTCGCTGCCCGGGGGTGCAAATGTTTGGGACTGGCATCCAGCGTGTTCCCATCACAGCCTGGCACGCTGCTCCAGCTGCAGACATGCATTGATTACAGAAGCCAAAGGCTTCGTCTTTCCTTAAGGGGGTTTGGCAGAAAAGTCTACAATGTTTTTTCCAGTCAGCTACACAATAGGTTTTCATGGTACTGTCAACCTGCTTTATCAGTGTCTTGTATAGCGATGTGCAATGGGGCGAGCTTGGCATCAGGTGCATTTTCAGATTTTCTGTGCTTTTCCATTCTGTTGATAGGGTATCCTAGCCTTTCATCCCTCTGCCCTGAGCTCTGTCTTCTGCAGTCTGGCCCTTGCCTAATCAAGTGAGACAGCTCTCCTGTTGTTACTGTTGAAGCTGCAATAAACAGCATATCCATTTCTCCATTTATCTGCTTTTTGAAATCCAGCCTGTAATGCCAGCAATAATTACTCCATTTCTATATTTGGATATCATCAGCACCTCATGAATATCAAATTGTACTGTTATTATCTCTGCACAATATGGGCCAGTCTCCTATCAGTGTAAACATGTATAACTGTGAATATCAGTAGGACTGTCAGAGATCCCAGAATAGACAAGGCTAAACAGGAGTCTGCCATTGTTTGTTTACTGGGGAAGGCAGGGAGAGAAGCAGAGAAGCCAGCTGGAGTTCTGATAGCACAGAGCCCATCCAGCGTTGCTGTGGGTACACACAGCACTCTACTTGTTGGGACCATTAGGAGCAAGTGCAGAGTTCTCTGAGCAAAGCACCATGTTAAAATCCTTGGCATTGGGGTTAAAATCCTGGGTCTTCTGCAAAAACATCTCGGCCCACAGCAAATTCCTTTGAACACTTACTTGGGCTTTGTTGTTAGACTTTCTCATTGCCCAGGAGATGGTGATGTTTCAAGCTCCAGTCTGACCAGGGCTGATCTAAAAACTTCTTTGTCAAACATCTGAAGCTCAGTGGATTTGGCTGCCTCCTAGGGGACCTCCTCCCCTCTGAATCTCCAGTTGAGGAGACTCTCAGGGGACAGTCTCTCCTCATCACCATCTTTCAGAGCTGTCAGAATACTTCAGCAGCTCATGGCATGGTTTGCCAAGGCTTGCTTGCATTGATGCAGACCCTGGTCTGGAGGTGAGCCCATCCACATGCACTGCTTTCCATCCAGGTCCGTACCTCCACACCACAAAGATATTACAGTCATTAATAATTGCATGCTTAATGGAATTACATTTTCATTCTTATTCTTCCCTGGAATTACTGCTCTAGGGTATTTACTTTGTGAATCTGTTGCCACCGTGGCATGGCTAGGCAGGTCCACTTCATGGTGGTATGGTAAGCACAGCTCTTGATCTGCTGCACCAGTGGTACCTCTGCACAGACAAAGCACCATGAAGTCTCCCCAGCCTGCAGACAGGTCTTGGTACCTAACTGTTTATACACACACAAAAAAGTTTTATAAAGTGAAGGAACTAAAATGCAAGTAAGGGAAAAGCGTAGCTGGTTCACCACTGGCACTTGGAAGGAGCCAGGCGTGAGAGCGACTGCACAACCCAGGGAGGGTGGGCAGGTGAGCCATGGGGCTGGTGGGACAGAGGGACACCAAGAAAATGTTAAAACCTTGTGAGAACAGCTGATTCAGTGAGATTGCAGGTTGTGCTATTCCACAGTAATTTACCCCAAGGTATTGGCATACACACAGCCAAGTACATGTTCGAGTCAAAGCCCTTAAGGAACACCAAAACCAGCCCCTAACATCCTGTTGTCTGCTCCAGATAGATAGAAAAGTCTTAGTAAGTAAAGCTGGCTTCTTATCAATTCCTCGTCCCTGAAACGGCTGTATTACACCCACCCAATGGTTTCTGTCCTAATTTCTAGAATCAGCCCTCTTTTCAAAGAAGCCTCTGCCAAAAGAGGACATGACTAAGCAAAAGAGGAAGCTTAACTGCAGCAAAATGTGAGTGAAACAGAAAATAATCACCGAGTAAACTTGTACTCGTCCGTTCAGCAGGGAAACAAATCTAGATCAGTCTCCGCAGCCTTGGACTGATCTCACTGGCTCTAGCACAGCTGGCCCAGAGACACAACCAGCATTCAAAACAGCAGTTAAGGACCCCAGGGCAGTGCATGGCACCTATCATTTGCATCTGTTTCGCAGGGGGCTGTCTCCTTCCTAGAGAAGAACTGTTGTATGTGTGTTTATACTGCAAGGGAGCTGTCTATGTTTGGTTTGGAAACGCTATGCTTGCTTAACAAAACCTGAATTTATCCCTGTAATCCTTCCCTGCATCTCCATGGCCAGATTGGAGCAGCCTGTGGAAAAAATTCCTGTCTATTTTCAGAAATAGATAAAAGCATTCAGATTACGGAGCGCAAATCTCAGCTCAAAATGACTGGAAAAATCCATTCAGTGTCTCTGTCACTGACCCCCGTGACCTCTCCAAGTAATGAATTTCAGTTGCTTTTCCCCTGTGCTGCTTCCTTCTCCTGCCACCACCAGTGCTGCTCCTGGAACAGACCCCAGTCCCAGCATCTGCAGAATGTCAGCCCTGCATCCAGCTGCTTATCCCATGGGGATGTGAAAGAGGGATGTGAAAGAGCAGAGTTTGTGGAAATTACTATTGATCTCCCTGCTTAAGACTGTTAGTAGTGAGGTCTTTTTATGTCAGTGGATACAGCTCACAGATTTCAGGATAGCGCTAGCATGCCAAGGAAGAAGTGCTCTCTGCCACAAAAATAAAACTGCCTGGAATCTGTTTCTTTGTACACACTCATCTCAGAGCCATGCTCTGCGCTTGGAGTTGGCTCTGATGCTGGTCCCTTCCCCCTTGGGAGCTCCTAAAGCAAATGAGCCTTTAGCATCACTTATTAGTTCATGAGATTGAAGATTCAGCAGAGAAGATCACTGCTCATTTAAAGGGATTGTGTGTTTTAGGAAGTCCCTGAGGCTCAATGAATTCTGCTCATGGTGGATTAGATGCCCTGTTAGCAAGCAAAATATTAAATGCAAGTGCAGTGAGCTTACATTTCACTCATTTTTCACTTACGGCTTACAGAGTGAGTCTTCGTAATTAATACCAAGGAAGAGGGCATTCAGCTGAACTACAGCTTTTGAAAGATTAACCTTGATAGGATTTTATTTTATTTTAGACCTTTGTTTTCCTTTCTGTAGTGATCAGAGCAGACCCAGGATGCTGATCCATTTGTGCTGTGCTCAACGAAGCATCTAGCAGAAATCCTGCAGCCCTCCACTGGGATTTACCCAGCTGCTGAGCACCACACCTGCATCTCTTCTGACAAAAACAGGCCAGATCCTGGAAGGTTCTGAGTAACCTGTTTTGGAGCTGAGGTGCTTCAAGATGTCTTTCCATCTGTTTCAGGCTACGGAAGCTAAATGAGCAGTTTGTTGCAAAATGAGACAGTTGGAGAGACCACCTGCTCTGGTGGTGAGTATGTGATTCTAGATGAGATGACAACTTCTGATTGTTGCTCTTAGTCCTGCTAACCAACAAGGGTTTGGGGCAATCAGCTCATTTCACTAAGAAACACAGAAGTATATCCAATTTGCAACGACTGGGTTAATTTTTATCTACTGTGGATACAGAAATACAGATCCACATCCTTCTTGCATTAGGGGATCCAGACCTGGATGCAGCACTCCAAGCAGGGCCTCATGAGGGCAGAGTGGAGGGGGACAGTCACCTCCATGACATACTGCCCACTCCTCTGTTGATGCAGCTGGCCTTCAGGGCTGCAAGCACGCACTGCTGGCTTGTGTTGAGCTTTTTGTCCACCAGAAAACCCAAGTCCTTCTCTGCAGGGCTGCTCTTAATGAGTTCTTCTCCCAGTCTGTACCCATGTCCAGGATTGCCCCAGCCCAGGTGCAGCACCTTGTACTTGGACTTGTTAATCTTCATTAGGTTCACATGGGCCCAATTCTCAAGCTTGTTCAGGTCCCTTTGATGTTATACCTTCCTTCTGTTGTATCAACTGCACCACTCAGCTTGGTGTCATCAGCAAACTGGCTGAGGGTGCACTTGATCTGATTGCCTATGTTGTTGATAAAGATATTAAATAATACTAGTCCCAAGACAGACCCCTGAAGGACACCACTTGTCACCGGCCTCTGCTTGGACATAGAGCCATTGACCACCACTCTCTGGGTGCAACCTTCAAGCCAATTCCTTATCTGCTGAATGGTCTACCCTTCAAACCCATCTCTCTCCAATTTGGAGATCAAGATATCACATGGGACCTTGTCAAAGGCCTTACAGAAGTCCAGACAGGTGACATGGCTTGGTCTTCTCTTGTCAACTATGATGCAGTCACTCCATCTTAGAAGGTCACCAGATTGGTCATGCACAATTTGCCCTTGGTGAAGCCATGGTGGCTGTCTCAAATCACCTCCTTGTCTTGCATGTGCCTTGACGTTGCTTCCAGGAGGATCTTCTCCATGATCTTGCCAGGCACAGAAGGCTCACTGGTATCTGAAGCAAGGAATATAATGCCATTACTTAAGATAATATGTACACAAATAGGAATACCACAGGAAAGGCCATTATTGTCTCTAAAGGTTAATTAATCTTAATACCCCTTAGAATTGTCATGAAAAGATACATATTGATTCAAGGTTACTGGTTCTGCATATGTAGAACATGGGCTGAGTGCATAAGCCTGAACTATATATATAAATATGCAGTTGTTCATTAGAAACAGAAAACAAACTGCAGTTTGTAAAAAAAAAATAATAATAATAATAATAATAACTTTAAGGATCTTCAGAAAATCTGGAGGTGTTTCTGTTACGATGATAAGTCTAAGAATTATAACTCCAAGTAAAAACCTAACCTATCGAGAGAAATTAAATGTGGAAATTCAACTCTGACCCATTTGGAAGACAAAATAAGCCTGTGATATCCTGTTCATTCACCAGGGAGCCATACTTACTATTCAATTCTTGCAGCTAGCCAGAATACAGGTATTTCTATATTCTGTATGATCCAAGTGCTTAAAATTCTTTGGACTGCTGACATCAGCTGAGATGAATGAAAGAAATTCATAGGATCAGTGTGATTCAGGATCTTCCTGCAGTGTGTAATGACCGCAGGAATATCTCCTATTTACATAACTCTCTTTTTCATTCCAGGAGTTCCCGGGGCATTATGCAAACCCTTCAAAAGAGAGATCACTGCAACTACCACCACTGAGCTCCCCTGCTGTGAGCTGACAGCTACTCAACAGGAAACAACTACACTGCACAGGCAGCATGTAGGGCCACTTGGATGGGTGCCTTCTGGAGAAAAAAAAAAGGGGGGGTGGGGGGTGGAGGGTGGGAGGAGAGAGAGAGAGAGAAAAGAACAGAGCTAAAAGGAAATGTTTCAACGCTGCTGGGGAAGATGAGCCCTGCTCCTCACTGAAACTGCCCAGACAGCCTCTCTCACCTCTGCTCACTTCACAGGAGGCATTGGGCAGCCAGGGGAGTGGTTGGCTGTGTTACCCAAATTCTGAGCAGTGCTCTGCACAGCTCTGCTGTAACACCCGCTAGTCTACACAGCTCTCCTTGGTCATCAGTGCTGTGTAGGGGAGGGAAAGATGAGCAAATCTGCCTGGAGAGCTGCCCATGGGCAATTCCTGTTGCCTCTGCTACTATTTGGACCGTATCTCCAGTCTATCTCTGTCTTTTCCATGTAGTCTCCTTCCTTGGTCCTGACTATGATCCTGCTTCTATGTGTTCTGGAGTCAAGGTGTTATATTGTTTTAGTGGAGGATTTAAGGAAATGAGAAAGAACCTCTCTTTTCTTCTGGGAAAGATAGTTTGCAAGCATCTCAGGAGGATTCTCTTAGGTTTTCTGAATAGGTTTCTAGGTTTAGGATGGGCACAAGGTGTAAGTTATTTAGGCAAAAGACTGTCATGTGAAAAACCTGGAAAATATAAAAATCCTTCAAACTCAGCATTTTCCACTCACACCTTCCCAATAATTTCTAACTCCACATCTTCATCCCTAAGAGTAATGCGTAGGTTTGAGCTTAGCTGAATGTGGCAAAGAATCTACATAAGTGGTGTAAATCCATCTTTTTATCATCCTTTATCAAGAGGGACCAAGGGGGGTATATTAAATCAAATATTTTCTCTGTGCTTAACCACCTGACAGAAAGGTCACACTAATTACATCAGATGCATTTTCTCAAATTTCCCTGCTTCTATTATGAGTGTGAGGCTTATCTAAGAGGAACTATTCTGACCACCAGCAAACACAGCCTGTCTTATCCATGTCTCAGTTCCCAAATTAACCAGGTGATGAGGAGAGCCTCATGGGATACAAGTCATGGTGACAGAAGCGGGCAGGTCATGGCTTTTTACAATTTTTATAAGCATGGCAGAAATGATCCAATTCTATTACTGCAGAGCTCTGCCCACGTATGCAGGGGCTGGGAGCACTGAGTTGACAGGCACTGTGCCAGTAGACACTGCTCAAGACTACATGGCATGGACCTTGGCTTAGTAGGACCAATGAATGTCTTTTTTTATGCTGTATGAATGACCCTCTGCCTTTCCTCTAATGCTTAGTAGACATGTTTTGGAGTTGCCATTGTGAAAATCGTAGGAGTGGTGAAGCAGACATTGGCTTGGTCAGGAGATACGGGAAGAGAAATGAAGAACAGGTGGGAAAGAAGCCATGTTCATCATGCTGCAGATGAGCCTTCATATTCTCTGACAAATTTGTGTCCCTCTAGCAAATACCACAGTATTGCTAGTCATCATCTCAAACCCTGCAGTATCACTAATACAAACTGGAGTGTTTGGCTTTTCACTACTTTTCCTTGTTTAGTATTTTGTACTTATTTTCTGAAGTGTGCCTCAAAAATTGGAGATGGTAAAACACAGGCCAGCCTTTGGTGGAAAGGATGGTGCGAGGATACTCCTGGAAAGCAGCAGTGTTTAATTTTTATCTCTACTCAAAATAAATTTGCCCAGAGGTGGAAGTGGTAAAAGCAGTTTTTGGTAGAAAAGAAAATTGTTGTCATACTTGAAAATGGGAAGCACAACAAAAAGACACAGTTAAAAAGGAAGAAAAGTAAAATGCCATTAGATCTTATTCTTTCAAGATGAGGCTCAGGCGTGAAACTGCAATGTGCGACAGAACTCTGCCACCAGATGGTTACATAGATTGGAAACGAGCAACAGGGAAGAAATATGGTGCTTTCTTACATGATGCAATAAGATGTTGTGCTTCCTGGCCACATATAAAATTAATTTATAACAGAAGCACACCAGAAATGCCTGAGGGTAACGCTAGCCACAGAACATCAGAGCTTTTTTTTTTCTTTCTTTCTCTCCAGCATTAAATAATGGGACTGACATTTTTCTTAAAACAACCTCGGAATGGGTGGTTGGAGAGAAAGATCAAAGATCCATGTCTCATAGGCTGCATCAGGAAAAAGTACGTGTGTAATCTGATCTCATATGCACTAATATACACCTATGTCCTCTGTCACATGTACTAGGGTAACCCTTAAGGTTGTTTTTTTGCAACAGACCTCTACAATGGTGACATTACTAAATTAGTATTATTACTATGAATAATTGTATCATTTTCTCTGATTCTAGTTGTTCTCACTTATTTTCTTCTAATGCATGGTGGTGGTACCCATCACTGGAGTGACTGGAAACATTTCACGTGTTTTATGGTGTATAGTTTTAATGTCTGAGCAAAGGAGACAAGTAAACTTTTCGACCCTGAAAGTAAGGGACAGATGTGGAAAATATTTAAGCTCTGGGCTCTATCAGGGCCACAGTAACCTATTAAAAAACAAACAAACAAATAAAAACCCTCCCACTGAATCCATTAAGCTTTATCTTAAGCTGAAAAGACCAGAGCAATCAGAGCTGCCTATCAGTGAAAAGAATGGGAAAGATGGATAATCAATCTTGCAATGCATTTTTAGTAGTAAATTGGCTTGACCCAAGAGCTGTGTGTCTCAGAGGACTGAATGACAGTGCTGAGTGGTAGGTGATGAAGGTCCGTGGAGGCAGGACAGACTCAGGTGATGGTTACAACAGTGCAAATCTCCCTTCCTGCAGAAACACTGGACCATCTGAAGCAGGAGAAACCACCACCGGGGAGTAGGTTGAGAGACCTGGATGATCTTAATGCCTCAGTTAGGTCTCTTTGTCTTAGTGTCAGCTCCTCCCCAGCGCTGCACATATGCTTTCCTAACCACAATACTATTTGAAGCCTCCACCTTGGTTAACATTTCATCATTCACGCTCTGAGAATTATCATTTCCTCTAGACGTGCTGACAAAACTCATTGTTTATTGCTCACAGCACGTCAGAACTGCTGATTTTGCTTTGGACTGCAAGATGTTTGGAAAGCCACATGCTTTTCCTGCAGCCAGCCCAATTCCCTCCACGCCGGCCTCTGTTGCTGTGGTTGCTCTCACCCAGGATGCCAGATCCTGTCCCCCACAAGTTAGAGCAGATGAGAAAAGTTGCTTGAAGAAGTGATGGGTTTCATATCTTCAGCATCAAATCCACAGAATCATGGAATTCCTTCTGATAGCCAGATACACAGCCTCTCTAGCAAAGCTGGCCGAGTCTTTTCCACCTTGCTTGCCTCCAAGTCTGTGGATAAGTCCGTCAGAGGAGGGAGCCAGGGAGGATGATCTAGATGTAAGTGCCCACCATTCACTACCCCAGCAGTGCCTCCTACACCCCAGGGACATTACTGGGGTCTCTCCCTGGCAGCAATACTACTCTGGAAAGATTATAACTGGGAGGAAGCCCAAATACAGCACCCAAGTGTTGGCTTTGCTCTGCCCCTCCAAACAACAAACAGGATGATTGGAGTGGGAAATGGGAAAATGGAGTAGTCCTGTGCTCTCAACCTCTCCAACAAGAAATGGGAGTAGCACCTGGCTGATCACCAGCCTGTTATCATGCCACAATCATGAATGATTGCTAAATGTTGCAGCCAGAGAAATGCAGATCATTATTAATTACTGCATTTCATATGACAGGACATATATTTCTCCATAAGTCACTGGCATCTAAGCTAACACAGGTAAGACAAAGCTATTCCTGCAGATCTGTATGTTGCCCATGGCTGCATGGCGGAGCTCTCATTTCAGTCCAGGAAAAGGAAGAGCTGAGTTTTTGATGAAAGCTCAATTTCTGTGTTGCAGGGCAAGTAGTGAACAACATAATCTGATCTACGAAACTATGAGCTATGAAGACTGTGGGCAGGAGCGTGCTACTGGCAGTACTGTCCTTCCTCACTCCCCACCTCACTGTCTTGCTTTACTGCCTCAGCCTGGCAAGCCCCTGTAGACGTGAGCTGTGTTGCGCAGCTTGTTATCCCAAATTTTGTTTGCATCATGCTGGATCTGTCCAGGTGGTTAAGCAAAAGGCATCTTTTTGTTGTTGTTGTTTATACCATGCAATTGCTATGTCTTTTATTAGGCCTTTGCTTTTCCCATGAGGAATAATCTCTGGAAACTTGGATAGGATCCCTTGGCTCGCATTAGAAAAAGGTAATAAAATCTTGGGAACCCAAAATGCTTCACTGTTGTTTTCACCAAACATCTTTTCCCATTTTGAAATGTGCTTCTCTGTTCTAATTTGTTTCATTATTTAGGGAAAACTTCTTCCTAACCTGCCAGTTTTCCTTCTTTCCAGCAGACCTGTGCCCTCCAAGAGCCCCGCAGACCTTAACTGCATTCCACCACACTTCTGACTCTCTGTAGAGCTACAAGGAAGTCGATTATTTCCTCATTGCTCTGGCTTCTCCATCTGTCACTTTACGACATAATATTTACTTACCTTTTCAAAGCACTTTAAATCTCCATAGGAATGCATTATAAAAGTTCATTAGAGTTATTACTGTTCTCCATTGTGTAATGCTGAAAAATGGCTTATGCAAGCCTGGCTCCTCTGTTGCCTCTCTGACCCCATCCACTGTCCAGGTGCTGCTGCCTCCTCTGGGGACAGCAGTAATGCTCCCTTGGTTTCCCAGTCTCTCGGATCCTACTTAGTCTGAGATAGGATAGGATCCTACTGAGCCTGAGAGAGGGACAACTGTCTAGTCTCCTACATGTTGGTTCAGAGACAGGCAGATCTGGATTCAAAGGCTGCTGCTTTTCTTTCTGCACTGCTGTTGAACATGCCTGCATTTGAGTTCCAGTATATGTTTTCATGGGCTCCAGTACGACCTGCGTGATCTCAAAGCTCCTTTTGTGTGGTGGGAAGGCTGAAGACCCTGCTGAGAAAGACTGCCAAATGTTGATGTGCTGCTGACTCTGACCTGTTTTCTCTGCCACAGCGTTTTTCTATTTAGTACATAGTTACATTTTTTTTGTTCCTTTTTATTTTCTGTCGTGTCAAAACACTTATTTTCAGTGATACAAAATGCTGTCAAAACACCGAGTACTTGAACTGACAACACCACGTGGTTGTCATAGGAGCTTCTACTAAACAGGCTGGTGATAGGAATCCAACGGGTGTGGACTGGTGAGACTCTTCCATGCTCTTCTTCCTCTCCCTCTTCATCCTTTTCTGAGGCATATTGATCAGCACACTCACCGTTTTATGTTAAACAGCTGCCATGTTTTAAGCCAGAGGTGACTGCATTTCAGAGACAAGCAAATGTACTTCTGTATTGTTGCCAGACAGTGATCTCATGTACTTTAGCCTTGTTTTTTCAAATGGTTCTGCTGGATGTTAGTGGTGCAGCTCTAGCCTGACCCCAACGTAAGAGAGATCTGATCTAATTCCGCTACTTTTTGGCATCCAAAAAATGTTAAGTATATATTTTAGAATAACGTACATTCTGCCATCCTGTTAACTCCTGTTTCACAGGGACTTGTTCTCCCTCCTAGCCCATTATTTTGACCAGAACTGGTGACTAATGGAAGCAATTTGTAGGAAGCATGCTGTTCCCAACTGACCAACAGCAAATTGCTAATGACTGACATTAGAGTGACTGTTCTCCACAGAGGAAGAGTTGAAAGCCCATCGCAAGCAGCACCAGTCGCATTAACAACAAAACAAACCACCCTGATACTGGCACCTGCCATTTATCCTGGCTACTTCTTGCCTCCTTCTCTGGCACATCTGTAACACCACACCAAAATACACCCTGTATTTGTTTATACAAACATGAAAAGCAATTTAAAACACTTCAGTTTGGTTTTGACATTATGGAGAAAATATTAAAAATACTAATGCACTGCAAGGAGCAATTCTGCACTGCTTAGGAGATGGTGCATGGGACTTAGTAGATAATTTCCATCTCTGAAATTTCTGAGACATGATGAATGGAATTTCTTAGTATTTGAAACAAGAGAGGTATGTTTAAGAAGACTGGAATGGACTGCAGTGTAAAATCTTTGTAATTCAAAAAAGGCAGTCTTGTTTTTTATTGCCCTTTTGGGGGAAGTCTCCTGTGAACCAAACAGCCAATAAGTCAAATAAATATTTCTGAATTAAATCCATCTTCTCATAGGCTTTGGGGAATTTGAAAAAACAACAGTAATTTATTGAATTACCTTTCATGGTTATACCTGCAGATGCCTTTTGAATTTGATAGCTAAAACACTAAACTCCTAGTGTTTCTCAAATCGGCTAAATTCCCTATGTCATCTGTACCAGTTACTATATTTGTAAGGCAGTAAACAGTGGCATTTATTGTTTGCTGTTCATGGGACTGTGCAGAAGAACAAGTTTAGTCTGTTTCCAGAGATGTACACCTACCTTGCTGGCACCAGAAATATTACACTAGCTTAAATCAGTGCAATCTTTCCATGCTGTCACTGCCTTCCCTGTTCTGATGTTCACTGCTGTGCTGATGCCCTTAGAATTAGGGCCCCTTCCCTACTTCTGCTGTTTCTGAAAAATTTAACAAGTGCAGCTTAGGCGTGTTATGAGCAGCTAATGAATTTCACTATCTAAGTGGGTATGTTGGCTCTGATATCTGCTTTCCTTTGTAAGAAGATGGAGAAATGAACGTCCTTATGTTGACTTGTCAAATCCTTATCTTGAAGCCTCCAGAAAAGTAGGAAAATGAAGGCAAGCAGGTGAATGACCCAGGTATCAAGTACCTCATCTCTTCTCATAGGCAGTGGAATTTGCATAGAAAACTCAAGAGAGAGGAAAAATCCAGGTGGATATGGAATACTGCAGTTTTGGCAAATGAGTGACAAAGTGTGTTAGGGCAGAGCACAGGAATTAGTTCTGAGCAATCCCAGAAGGTTTCAGGACAGAGTGCCTAGAGGTTTTGATGTTGGCATCTAAGATGCTCTCTGGGTTGGAAGTCTCTGGGGAGAGCATCTCATAACCTCTCACCTGTTGCATTTATGATCCCTTCTTATCTTTTTCCTGTGACACAATCCTTTCCTCTTCCTCTTCTTCCCACTCCTTTAATTTACTACTTTATAACAACTCTGAGGCTAATTCTGCAGTTGCTTACATGGCAAAGGACCATTAGGAAAACATTTAACACATTCCGATCTTATTTAGGAAATAGCCATGTGAACGGTAGACCCAGACCCTCAGCAGATTGATAAGGTGCTTGTGGGTCACATTCTGAAAATATTTTGATGCAAGCTTAACCATGTACACCATGAGCTGTTAGAGAGTCTTCATGTTACAGTGACAGAGGCTTTTGCAAAGAACAAGACATGAGTTTTTTCTTTTTTTTTCTCTCTCTCTCTTTTTTTTTTTTTTTCAGTTCAGATAGAGGCCCCAAGGGAGCCTTGTCTGCAAGTAAAACACAGAACTAAGCAATAGTGATTAAAAAGCAAAATGTTTTAGGTGCACTGCTATTATCAGTGAAGCCGGTTTCAAGTTTCCCCTCTTTTCTGTTGTCACTTTTAGTGGCTTGTTAGGAGCTTCATGATGCCACTCGTAATTCCTGGTGAGCTGTGCCATCACACGACTAATTAAAGGAGCACTCTGCAAATCATATCACTGAAAGCCTTTTGTAAAGCCTACACTGGTTACAGCCAAAAAATGCTCTTCTCCTGTGTTACTGATATCTTAAATTCTTTTATCTTCATCTATACATTTCAAAGTCCTAGCAGTGCATGGACAGTAGCTTACCTCAGTTCCTGTTTTCACTTTCTACTTCTCAGGTGCTAGCACAACTAAAAAGTTTGAATCATTTTTAATTCCAATCCCTTTCAGAGAGTTCTCATTAATTCACCCCCCTCCCCTTGCCTCCAGTAATCTCTTTTTTTTTTTTTTTCTCTACACAAGTATTCCTTACACAGCCACAGTGGCTTTTAGTCTGGCTGCAAGTTCCCCTCTAATAGCTTTTGAACACATCTGAGGAATTTCTGTCCGATTTGATGGAAGGGTAGCAGTCTCAGAAACAATTACATTCCTACAAGATCTGTTAATACTGACAGCATGCCAGAGGAGAGAGAACTAAATTCATGCCCCCAGTGAGAAAACATTATTATTGTTCTTGGCAGCTGGTACACACTGGCCAACCTGTACCTACCACTTCTTGCCTTGTGCGGTTGTTGATTGTGGTGTGGGGAGGAGATAAGATTAATGCAGTGGGGAAGGAGGTAGGCTGAGGGATACAGGGAGCAAATCTGGTGGAATTCAGGCCTCCCTCCTTCCAGCTCTCCCCACAGTTGTTTCGGGACTAAATTAAATCCAAGATTTATTTTTTTTTAATTTTATTTTTTTATTTTCTTTTCTTTCTAATATGTCAAAAGCTCAAACAAAACTTCAAATGGCATTATTTTTGTGGACATAAAGCCATTACCTAATAGTTTTAACAAAGCCTTTTGAAATGTACATACATTTCCAGTCAGCCAGATTCTTCCTTTTTCACTAAATACTGAACATTCTTTTCTTCCCCTCGCTGTTGTCTTTGGCTGTAGAAGTTGTACTTTCCACTTTCATAAAAACTGCAGGGGTAATATGACTGCATGTATAGTTTTTGAGTAGACTTCTTGCATTCTGACAAAACGGCTATGTTAACTCATCTTGCAGCGGTTTGAGGGATTACATGCTTTGCTTGTGTAGCTATGACTGAAAATGCAGTTCTATGTATTTTCTAGTACTGCCATGCTGAACGGTTGAAAAGCTGTCATGTTCTTCTTCACAGTAGGCTACACAACTATGTGATAGATAAAATGATACCTCTACAAAATATACAAAATTGCTTTGTGTTCTTTAAGGAAAACAGAAACGCCATTACATGTTTTAATCTTTCTTAACAATTTATTTTCTCCACAGTTATAAGTAAAAAGTCTTAACTGGAAGATTGTATAGCCAGGCATTGGTGCTGTAACAAGCAAAGCTGTATAGCATTTCACATTTTCTCATCCGTCTTTAGTTAGTATCTCCTGACAGCATTCCCAGCAAAAAACAGTGTCGTTACCACGAGATATTGTGTCCTAAGAAAATGTCTTTACATATCTCTTATCTCTCATTCACTCCTTTATCTCTGAGGGTAGTTTCCCAGGGGATCCTTTGCACTAGTGCCCTAAACAGCCAAAAGTTTGCCTTTCTGAGATTTAGTGTCTTTGATTTTATATTCTGCCCATCCTGAATCCATCGAGACTGAGAATTCTACCAGAGCATGTTCACCAAAGCTCAGGGTATCTCCAGTCTTGATCCCTCTGGTAAGTTTTTCAGCATTGGTGAGCAACAGGTCCAGCAGTGTATCTCCTTTGGATGGGTTTTCTATCACCTCTGTTAGGAAGCTATCCTCAATGCATTCCAGTAGTCTCCTGGATTGCTTGCAGTTTGCTGTGTTGCTTTTCCAGTAGGTGTCAGGGTGGTTGAAGCCACCTAGCAAGATCAGGGCCTTCAAGCATGATGCTTTCTGTATCCTGTAGCTGAAAAAACAGCTCTGCATCAATATCCCCTCCTCTATCGGGTGGCCTGTAGAAGACACCAACCATGAAGTTTCCTGTGTTGGTTTGGTTTCTTAATTTTCACATGCAAGCTCTCAACCTATGCATTGCTGTTCTTCAAAGACAGTTCCGTGCAATCAATCCTCCCCACCACTTTTTTTTTTTTTTTTTTTTTATCCCACTAAGTTTCTGTGACAGCAATCATGTCATATTTTTCTAGATGGGCAGTGGCTACCAGCTCCTTCTGTTTTATATTCATGATGTGTGGTATAGAGGTACTTCATTTGGTCTTTTGACTGTCTGACCATTTTGACTTTTTTGTCTGACCTTTCTGGAGGGACAAGATGGTGATATCCAGTAGAAAGACCAACTTATTCATCTGTGAGGCTGAAAAACTGGTTAATGAAAGTGTCTAGCAGTGAGGGCAAGCCCTGGCCCAACGCAATAGTAAGAAGATGAAGGGTTGAGGCATCTTTTGAAACTGTAGGTGGTTTGAAGGAGAGGCTTTTGGACAAGGATTTAAAGTGCTCTGAGAATTCAGTTGAGCATTGTATCAATTTTAATGTTTAGCTTTACAAAGAAAAGGGATGACAATGGAATGTCCAACATTTTTAGGATGAGATTCCTGGAATGTTCATTTACTAATTTTTTTATTTTCAATATTGACCAAATTGATTAATGATTTTCAGCTCCACAATGGTACTTATTAAGGCAACGCGCTCTCAATGAATGATGATGATAGGTGCCTCCCAAGAGCTGATGTTGGCCTCAGTATTACCTACAGCAGAAAACAGGGATCCCACCAATGGAGCGGCTATGGGGCAATATATCTCAAAATGGTTTTGGGCCAGGTTTTGCCCTGGTACTTGAACTTTACAGATTTGCTGAGGGATGTGTTTGCCATGCACATGAAATGGTTAAGGGGTCAGAAAGAGAACCCAGATCACTTTGGCCCTTATCCAGCAGCTCCAGTGAGCAGGCCATGGGCTTGGCTTGGTTTTAAAAAAGCATAAAGCTTCACTTTAAACCTCCTGGAGTTTTCTTTCTTGGGCTGAGGGTTTCACCAGATCCATTTACCTTATAAAAACACGTGTGTGGAAAGAGTACAACAGGGTTAACTGAGTCAACACCGCGCAGCTGTAAAGTTCAGCGCAATAAAGCTGAAAACATTGCCAGTTTCAGAGAGAATTCGGACTAACCGCCCCCAGGCCTGCCCTAACAGCACTGGAAATCATTCCACAGCCCTTTGCTGCTGCTTTTTTTCCTGCCTCACTGACAATTTTACGAGAAAACCCGTTGCCAGCAGCAGGAGGGTATTTTGCCTGTAATGCAGCACGCTCGGGCAGATTAGCTGTCACACTTTATAGCTAATGACAGAATTAAGACGATTTTACTGTTATTATTGTTGTTATTTTTATTATTGTTTTACCACATTTATTTATTTTATTTTATTATTTATTTATCGCACCACAGGGCTGCATCACCCAACGGCTGTTGGCGGCCCTGCTTCGGGGAGGAAAAGCCTGGCACGGGTAGGAAGGCGGGCAGAGGAGAGGTGGTGCAACATGAATTCCTCTCATTTTAACCAACTGTTGCAAAACGTGGCCGAAAACCACCCGCGTGTGTGGTTTTAAGGCAGGCCGGGCGCGGTGGCGGCGCCATGGCAACGGCTTCACCGCCGCCTCCGGAAGAGCCGGGGCGGGGCGGAGGCCGCAGCGCCAAGATGGCGGCGGCCATGGCGGCGCGGGGCGGCGGGGCGGCCCCGTGAGCGGGCGGGGGCCTCCCCTCAGGTGAGGTGAGGCGAGGCCGGGCCCCGGCCCCGGGGGTCTCCTTCGGCTGGGTTCCGAGGCCGGGGCCGCGCCGCAGCCGTGGGGCTCGCTGTGTGGCGCGGCCCGGCCTGACCTGGCTCCCCTTTTCCTCCCCAGGCATGGCCGGAGCGCTGTAGGGCCGCGGAGATGCCGGGCGGGGCCGCGGCGCAGGAGGGTGCCTGAGAGCGGCCGGGAGCTGCCGTGTGGGAGATGTACGTCCCGAAACCTCGGCTGCGCCGCTGTAATGCTGTCTGGAGAAACAGTCGCGTGGTTGTTGTAACCTCAAGCCTCAGTGGTTGCCCTTCTTGAGGAAGCAGAGCCGGGGCAGGCTCCTGGGGAAGGTTGCAGTGAAGTTCTGTGCAGGTTGCTTTCAGGTTTTTTCCAACCATACCCGTGTGGTTTTCCCTAGTCGCCGTGCCTCTTGTCGCTTCGCCCATGGGTGACGCCATGCGCGCTGCTATCTCGGCTAAATGTACTCCCTAGCAAAGCTAAACTTTGACCCAAATGCCCCTTGTGCAAGAAGTGCGGGATGGGGATCAGAACAAGGCGTGTATAACTTACACCAGCTAAACCACTGAGAACTTAACTGGCTGCAGAAAGGTGGGCACCAGACACAAATGCGAGAGTTAAACTATGTGTGCAGCCTCACTTTGGTTCTCGTGTATCCGTTGTGATACAGTTCTTGGATGTAATTACTCCATTTTTAAGCCGTACTTAACCTAGTTCATTGAGTGTGGTGTGTTTATGTAACGGGTTGCATATTTTCCTTATTGATTGATAAGTATCTCCATAGGAGACATTTCTTCTTTTAAAGACACCGCCTAATCTCTGCTTTTGGTTACATAGACTTTTCAATAACGCTTACTGTGGCAATGTTTTAATCAAGCACAAACTTATTCTGCAGTAACATGGGGAAAAGAAAAAAAACAAACAGTCTATTTGTTTTTCTTATTGCAAAATGGGGAGACTAGGATTAAAAAATAGAGAAGTCAAAGTACACGTTAAAATGAACACTGCAGAAATGTTGGTTGGTGCATGTGATTTTGTAGTGTTTGTTAATACTCAGAACAGAGAGCTTCAGTGGGGATTTTAGGAGTGTTAAGGTTACTTGATCTAACAAATCAGTTCTGTTTGCTCAAGTGGCAGGCTGTCATGTCTTTCATCTGTTCCTGCAGAGTCTCTGCTTCTCTAGCAGCTCCTAATGATGTCTGTCCCTTTTTTCTTTCCTTGTTTCTTACTTCTGTTTTCCACTGACAGTCTTTTTTGAGGTTGTCCCCTTGTTCCCTTGTTTCTTCAGGTTGTGGTGCTGAGAACAGGCAGACAAGATTCCATGTTGCCTGTGTCCGATACCAAGTTGCATAATCTGGTTTAATGTTTTATTAGCTCCGGACTGGGAACTAGCTGGCTTGTTTGCATTGTGCAGCAGTGTTTGGTGAGTTCTTAGAGTTAGAATAGTGAAAAATGGAACCTGTAGAGAGTTGACTTTTTGAAACAGATCCATTCTGAGTGTGTGAAAAGGCTTGCACTTCGGTTTATGTAACTTCTTGTTGACTTGGACAAAAAGTTGATGACTCCTGAAAGACAGCTGTGTTTTATAAAGGCTCTTGTTGCTATTGCAGGACAGGATGAGCAGGTAGAGAGTTAGCAGACTTCTTTGAACCTAGACAAAACATTTCTTTTTTTTAAGGATTTTTTCTCTTAGGTTTTCTAATGGAGGGAGGCTTTACTGATTAATACAAAAATAATTGCTCAACTTGGTTTCAATACACTGTCCTTTCATAAGTTTGAGAAAATTAATTTGCCTTTAATCTGACAATGGGCTTTTTCTTTTCTGGGGATTCCTTGAAACAAAACTGTTTTTTCATCTTGCTGCTTTGAAACAGTCTTTTCCAAGACTTTCTCTGTAATACTAAAGCTCCTGTGGCTCGCAGGTGTTTTGATCATCCTTTGGTATAAACCGGCTGTTCATGTCCTTTTGGGTATCAAGGTACAAGAAATGAAATGAGAAATAAAACCAAGCAATTCATTTCTCTTGCTAAACTGAAGAGAACCAGTAGCAAGTAGTGCTGGTTCTGACAAGCTCACATCATCATGATTTTAAAATAGGAATAGAGTTTGATTTCATGAAACCTTGTCACTTGTCTCAGGCAAAGGTTTAGCTGACTGTTCGTGGTAACTGGAATTTATTGTGGTTGTACATGAAATGAACATACAGGTCTGGGGTTATTGTGTGGTATTTTTTTCTCTTACTTTTTGCTTGTTCGATCTGATAATGATTCAGACCAGATATAAATGTTGATGTTAATTGGGAAGTTAAAGAAAATGCACCTTATGACCTTTCAAATCCAGTAGGAAGACGTTCTCTGGTGTTTGAAGGTGAGAAGTTACAGTTCTGCATGTGAGAACTTGCATGAACCACTTAATATGGCCACTAAAGCGTTTTTAACAGTGGTAAAAGCACAGAGAACCCTTTTTTTTTTCAGTTTGGTCAGCTCTTGGGGAGACAGAAGCGGTAAACGGTAGATTCTAAACTGTTTTCTTCCTCAAACAATATTCTTTATGTCTGAATAATTAATTCCACATCACTTGGTAGTTTTGCTCTTAGGTTTCATTATTGTTTCTCTTAGCTAGTGTTACTATAGATTTTAACATTGATTTCCCACACAAGCCAACAGCCTGCATTTGTTCAGATGGAGTGTTAGCACTGTGTTTGAATTCAGAACATAATCAGATATCTTGCAAATTTCCCAATGGCTGTTTCATCTTGAAACATTTAGAGATTCATTTTAGTTTCTCCTAATTATAACGTTAGGCAGCATTCTAAACTTAGGACGGCACTCTGGCAGTGATATGCTTGTTTTTCTAAACTAAGCATATTTTCTGTGGTTACATTTTCCTTTCATTTAAGTACAGATTTTAATCAGCATAGGCCAAACTTTTCCAACCATGCTTAAAATTAGCTTGAGCTATATTTTAAAAGATGTCCTGCTAATGTGATTTAA